TATATATATATATATATATCTGCTCTAATTTTCATTTTCATCGGCAGCATTTGCACGTGTTTATTAAAGCATAATGTTTTTCTTATATAATCTTTTAAAAAAGTTCTACATTTCTAAAAAAAATTTTTTAAATATTTTCTAAATATTAATTCATTAACTTTTGAGGATAGATAGATATATTTATGTTTCTAGGTATTGATATATTTTCTTAGGAAGGCAATATCAGCCAACAAAGGACGGCGGAAAATTATTCCATTAGAGTTAGAGCACTTTCTGCTAACCCATTACCTACGAGTAAAATGCTACGGAGGATGACTACTTCCACTATCTGATTTATAAATTATTTCCCAGAGAGAATCTTCTGCGTTGATTCTTTGGGAATTGTCTTCCATCCAGAGATGGAGGAGAAAGATAATCTCGATTTGAATGTCCGGAAGGAAATCTAATAATAAGAAGAAAGAGGATCTGGAAGAGAGAAAGTGTTTACCTTCCTCTTGGACTTGACGCTTTCAATCTGCTTCTGGGTGCATTCGCCGATGCTCTGACTTCCCCACAGTTCACGTCCTACTCGGAAATAAGTGAACGTCATGGAGGAGATGGGCAAGACGTAAGTCACGACCAGGATGACGACGTTGTATCTAGAGACAATCAGTTCAGCAGGACACATCAGAGTATAAAAAGAAAATAAAAGCAGAATGTTTAGATTGTATGGCTAAAAGAAAGTTCCTTCTCAAACGAATCACCGAACAATGTCAGTTCGATAATGAAGTTACAAAATGTAGGTAGAACATGCATATGTTGGGGATAATACATAGAATATATATTTTAACATTAGTATTGTATAAAATGTATTTTTTTTATTAATTTATATTTATAATCAAAAACTAAAAACAAAGTTCTAAGGTACTGGTTATTTTATCAAATGCAAAAGATACCTGAGGTAATTACAATTTAAATCGACTTTTATTACGAATTTAACATTAAAAGAAGATAATGAGTAAAACATGTTAGTCAAAAACAAATACAAGGCAATTTATCTTAATCTATAATCCATAAGCCCTTGGCGACCAGCTTTAATCCCCATTGACTCACTGTTTCGTAAGTTCATATTGTTCGGTTTGAAACTATGCATTAAAATTATAAGGAATTAGGTACTAACTTCGGAAAAACCGAAACAGAAAAAAACTTGCAAAACGCAATAAATTACCTCTTAAGTGTTTTTATATAGTTTCGATGAGCCTGCTGCTTTCATCAGCGTTGCTTTGAGTGATCGTGACTTCGTAAAAAAAAAATTGCTTTTAGCGAAATTCCGCAAAAATCCAAAACAAAAAAATAAATATAGCTTGATCTACTGAACATGTAGATTATTAATTAAGCTGGAAAATAAAAAAAAATATTTGAAATGGAATGTGATAGGTTTATTAAATGGATAAGTGCGAAAAAAATATAGCATGGTGATACAAAAAATAATCCGATTAAAAAGAAATATATTTATAAAATTAAAGCAACTTAGCGCAATATGCGTGAAGTGAATTTGAGAATAACTTTGATGCTACAGATATTTATAACAATAATGATAACTTGTGGGCTCCCCCTCCCAGTACAATGAGACTTCCTGCAGCTCGAAGATTGCTATGCAATTGATATGTAATCTGATTTGTTTTGCGAACCATGCTCGGTTCGCTGACTACTGATTTAAATCCACTTAAAATGTGTTCTAGAGTAAAAATTTAAATAAATTATTAAAATTTTTAACTGATGAAAAACTTTTTTTTTAAAATTAAGATTTTTAGTCAATAATGAGTTTTTGGAAAAGAGAAATTTAAATTTAAGTAAAAAACGTGTAATAGAAAAACTTACAGAAACTAAAAATTAATTATGCCTTAAGAATAATCACTATTTAAGATTAAGAACATTTTTAAAAACACAATTATGAATTTAGGCACATGTAGTTATCATTGTAAGGCTGTTAAATGAACTAATTCTTGAGAGGCTAACAGAAAGTTGTCCATGACCAAAACCTACATCAACAGTTAAATCATGTACGCATTCCTTCAATTTTACGTCCTATATAACTGTCATCAATGCTTTTTCCAGCTCTCCAAACCCATTTTTTACTATGCTTCAAGAGTGCAATACATGACAAATAATCATTTTTTAATGAATAATAATATTAATTAATATTTTTTTAATTATTATTGAATAAATAACGCTGTTATTAATTCATAATGTAGTTTTCATAATGTTAATTCATAATGTTCACTTTGTTTGTTGATATAAAATACTCGATTTTAACCTTCAAATTATCCTCAACATATAACTCAGTTAGTTTAAACTTTTCGTTGTCCACACGTGAAATGAATTTCATATCAGAAATCTGTAAAATGTACCTTTACGTTTTCATGCTTATGACAGCTAACTAACGCTTGGTATTTCAATTCTTTGATGCCAACGTAAATATATATATATATAAAGAGTGGGGTAAAATTGAGAAATTAGTTCTGATTTCTTATCAAGCATGGCAACATTGCAAAATTCACCAAAGCACAGAGATTTTCATGGCTTATTCACATTGAGAAATCACTTGACATCCGATTGGTAAAGGTCTTGCGCTGCAAGCACATATGCAATAGGCCAAGAGTCAGATCAAAGAAAAGATGAATGGGTGATGTCTTGAATGATTTAAAAACTTTGAAGATCTCCAACTGGAAGATCAATGTCAGGGACAGAACTGTCTTGAGAAATATTGCACTGCTGACTGCGGCTCTCTCTGTAAAGTAGTGCCAATAAGGAAGAGGTTCTGATTTCTAATTTACAAATGTATTCCGCTAGTCCAGAAGAAACTCCCATATTGACGCTTTGTTGTAGTTGAATTCGTAGGGTCTGAGTAGGTAAGTTTGTTTTATTATCTCTATTATACATTGTACTTTTGTTTTCAAGCTTTGTATTTTGATAGAAATTTTTTCTTATAAATAAAATAGTATATTAATGTTTTTCCGAGAATAATATATTGTACACAAATAAACAATGAATATCTTGGTTAAATCTGAAATTTTTTCTATGTCAAGCAGTTTAGCTCCTAAAGATATTTTGAATCTTTGCTACCCTGTATTACCCCACCTAATGAGTGTGCTAAGGCAAAGCAGTTTGGAATATAGAATTCAAATAGCTTATTACTGAATATTAGCAATTCTGAAATAAATTATTAGTGTAGTTACTAACATGATTATATTTATAAACATAATGATTATATTTATTTACATAAAGAGTATGTTTATTATAATTATATATATTTTTTAATTAAACGTGTGTTAGATGCTAAAATATATATTTAAGTTTTGTTAACACAAAGAATTTAGAAAATCTGAATAATAGCAAGCATTATTTCCCATTTATTAGAAGAACAATGCGGTGATAAAAAGAACAAAGTAAATTTAAAACGATTTTTTTTTATTTATTAATAATGCGTTTTCTTTGCCTAGTCAAAAATATAAAGTCTTTATTTATTGAAACAAAGGTTCTTTCAATATTTTTATTTTAAAAATATTTAGTATTTTTTTATCTTAGCAATATGTATTCATAATTTTAATCATTTCATAATTATTTTCTCTGAGCCATTCTTTGTCTTTTTTTCTGATATACGTCCAATTTATCAAAAAAATGAATAGATTCAATTCCGCAAGTTTTGGTTTTAATAATGAAGGTTATATTTATTTTTCTTTTTTACTCGGGATTCTGTTACTAAACAGAGCGGTAGTTTTACTGGAATTAGTTTCTCCGTGTACATTGATCAATAAGCGCCAAACGTGACAAATTAATAAAACGAGTGTCACTAGTCACTGTCTTTTATTTGTTGAATAAAAAACTGTAATTTGTATATAAAACTACCCAAATTTAAAATATTAGGCTTATAACTGAATAATATTTCTAATAAACTGTCTCAAAATTGTGCTAGAAATTCGTTGTAAAACTATGTTTAAGAATATTTCTAATTTATTATATATTTCGATAAATTTCAATTACGTTTGATAAAATTTAAAATGCTTATGAATGTTAGATATATTTATATTCTTGAAATAATAAGTAAGAAATAGTTATTGTTATATCAAATAAAGTAAATAAGCTTGGTCAAAAAATAACAGTTTTTATACAAATCTGTACGGATTGCGAGGAACAGATGATTTTTCTTAGGCATTTTTATTGGAACCTCTGTTACTTTTTTATTATTTTTATCAAATAATGTAGCCATATAATGTAAGTCATATGATGAAGGAAACGATCGTTAAATGAGAATTACTCTACATTTAACTTAAAGTAGGAGGTTAATTTTAAAATTCTAAAAAAAGAAGTAAGCAAAATAAAATAAAAATTAAAATTAAATTATTTTTAAAAATCAATAACATAATTTAACAATAACAATTAATTTATCATAATAAACATAAATTTAACAATCAGATGTTTACGACGACTTTACATTTTTATTGGTTCCAGATTCTAAACTTAAATCTGCTATTGAATTCCTGTAAACGATATTTCAGGTTTCGTAAAAAGATGCAAAAATGAACTTTTTTAAACAAATAATTTTTTCGGAATGTTAAATTTTCAAATTAACAGGGATTGCCAGAGATTTTGTAATAAAGAGGGTTTGTGAATAACCTTTCGTTATAAGGCTAAATATCTGAGACTGAAAATTTACAAGAAAGCCGCGTAATTCTAACATAATTTAGAGAAAAAAATAATGCCTAATGAACTTTTTATGAAAGACTTAGTTTGGCGAGATTTTTGATGACTAGGAGATGATTTCGGCGATACTTGATGACAAATTCGGCAATAAAATTTAAGTTCTGGAAAATTCGAGTTTCGAAACAATCAGGACTAATATTTACACGAGAATTGTTAAGAATAATGTCGAAGGTTTTGGGGTTTCGTCTCCAAGAATATGTAAATAGGTGTGTGTCTCGCAGAGAGGATGGAGGAGGGAATATTTGTCTGCTTGAGACTGCAATATTGTTCTGGTCTGCGAGTCTTTAGTGAGTTCATTGACCAGTCTGATATTGCGAAGCCTGTATCTTTTGTGTGTTGCACTGATATTGAGTGCTGGAAATCGTTGCATCTTCTGAAAGATTCTACTAATAAATTTCTGGAGTCTTAAGGACTGTTTTATTCATCTAAAATCAAAACAAACTCCTGTCCTTGGTACAATATGAAGCAGTATCCAATTAATTAACAGTGACAGTTTCAGAAAAATGTGAAAATATCTACCAAAAAAAAAAAAAGGTTTTTAGGCCTTCCATTTTGGACCTTAGGAAATTGAAAGAAAATTTCGAGTTTACCGATAAAATGTGCAAGAAAAATTACAGTGATATGTGGGAAAAGGGAAGCATTTTAATTAGAAAAATGGTAACTTAAGCAATTATTGTTCCAGCTAAAACTTATCTTCCAAAATCCGCCTGAATGAACTTCTATGTTATTTTTGTAAGTGGAAGATAATTAAACTACTTGAAATTTGTAAAAAAACTTTTTTTTACAAATTTGTACTATCTAAACTTTGCCTGTTAATCAAAGCCATCATCCTGACTAATCTTTGTAATTTTAATTTAAATTCCCTAATTGCTATTTTTGCAGATCATTAAATGTTGTGAGCTTAAATTTAAACTCACCCAATATTTTAATTTACTTAAGAGGTAGCAATTATTGTTCCAGCTAAAACTTATCTTCCAAAATCCGCCTGAATGAACTTCTATGTTATTTTCGTAAGTGGAAGATAATTAAACTACTTGAAATTTGTAAAAAAACTTTTTTTTACAAATTTGTACTATCTAAACTTTGGCTGTTAATCAAAGCCATCATCCTGACTAATCTTTGTAATTTTAATTTAAATTCCCTAATTGCTATTTTTGCAGATCATTAAATGTTGTGAGCTTAAATTTAAACTCACCCAATATTTTAATTTACTTAAGAGGTAGCAATTATTGTTCCAGCTAAAACTTATCTTCCAAAATCCGCCTGAATGAACTTCTATGTTATTTTCGTAAGTGGAAGATAATTAAACTACTTGAAATTTGTAAAAAAACTTTTTTTTACAAATTTGTACTATCTAAACTTTGGCTGTTAATCAAAGCCATCATCCTGACTAATCTTTGTAATTTTAATTTAAATTCCCTAATTGCTATTTTTGCAGATCATTAAATGTTGTGAGCTTAAATTTAAACTCACCCAATATTTTAATTTACTTAAGAGGTAGCAATTATTGTTCCAGCTAAAACTTATCTTCCAAAATCCGCCTGAATGAACTTCTATGTTATTTTCGTAAGTGGAAGATAATTAAACTACTTGAAATTTGTAAAAAAACTTTTTTTTACAAATTTGTACTATCTAAACTTTGGCTGTTAATCAAAGCCATCATCCTGACTAATCTTTGTAATTTTAATTTAAATTCCCTAATTGCTATTTTTGCAGATCATTAAATGTTGTGAGCTTAAATTTAAACTCACCCAATATTTTAATTTACTTAAGAGGTAGCAATTATTGTTCCAGCTAAAACTTATCTTCCAAAATCCGCCTGAATGAACTTCTATGTTATTTTCGTAAGTGGAAGATAATTAAACTACTTGAAATTTGTAAAAAAACTTTTTTTTACAAATTTGTACTATCTAAACTTTGGCTGTTAATCAAAGCCATCATCCTGACTAATCTTTGTAATTTTAATTTAAATTCCCTAATTGCTATTTTTGCAGATCATTAAATGTTGTGAGCTTAAATTTAAACTCACCCAATATTTTAATTTACTTAAGAGGTAGCAATTATTGTTCCAGCTAAAACTTATCTTCCAAAATCCGCCTGAATGAACTTCTATGTTATTTTCGTAAGTGGAAGATAATTAAACTACTTGAAATTTGTAAAAAAACTTTTTTTTACAAATTTGTACTATCTAAACTTTGGCTGTTAATCAAAGCCATCATCCTGACTAATCTTTGTAATTTTAATTTAAATTCCCTAATTGCTATTTTTGCAGATCATTAAATGTTGTGAGCTTAAATTTAAACTCACCCAATATTTTAATTTACTTAAGAGGTAGCAATTATTGTTCCAGCTAAAACTTATCTTCCAAAATCCGCCTGAATGAACTTCTATGTTATTTTCGTAAGTGGAAGATAATTAAACTACTTGAAATTTGTAAAAAAACTTTTTTTTACAAATTTGTACTATCTAAACTTTGGCTGTTAATCAAAGCCATCATCCTGACTAATCTTTGTAATTTTAATTTAAATTCCCTAATTGCTATTTTTGCAGATCATTAAATGTTGTGAGCTTAAATTTAAACTCACCCAATATTTTAATTTACTNAAGAACCAATTTTCTTTCTCAAAATCTATTTCAAAAAATTTTTTAAGGTGAGTAGGGCTTTAAGCTGTCATTTTCCTGGCTTCTTGAAATCATTAATAACAAAAACTACATAGATTTATCAGAGTTATTTTAAGAAATACTGTTGTTTTCTGCAAAATATAAACGTCTTCGGCCAAATATTAAATTAAAGCAAAGTTATATGCTATAAAATGGCGAATTTGTCATTGTCCTGACTGTCATTTTCCCGGGTAATGAATGCCAGGACATTGAAGTGTTACCAGAAAGTCTTTTTAACTGCTAATACAGTAAAGAGGGAAATCAAATATTAACCTAATACTAAGTTTATGCATGATTGTAATATGCTTGGATGTAATCAAGGTTATTTATTTACTTAATGATTGATTATTATACACAATTTTATTCTGTACATATCAGCAACAAAAATTTTTTTGTTCCTTTCTACAGTGGATAAAAAGAATTAATTTAAGCAATGTATGGTCCATCTAACATAAAGGCTTAAGTTGAGTTACTTACTATTAACTTAAAATGACTGTTTTTTAAACTTCTAAGGTAATATGTCATTTTCCTGGCATTAAAGATTTGATGAATTTCTATTTTATTTTTTTTCTCGAGCAAATGTCAGTAAACTATACTGCTGTCTATAAGATATTAATAAGTGTAGCTAAAGAAGCATACAAAAAAAATTTAGATTATTTTGAAGATTTTGAATTTGAAATTTTTTGGAATTTGATCTTTCCTGAGAATCACCCATATATATACACAAACTATCGAATCGAACCTTCCTCGAAATGCTCATGGTTCTTGCACTTGTTACGTCAGGCTATCCGAAATAGTTTTGAGGTATCTTCTAATCAACTTGATTGACGGTTTAGCGCTTCAGTGAGCAAACCAGTTCGTTGATTAGAGTTATTATAGTGAAGTTACTTTCCTTTATACTAATTAGAAAATTCAACATTGATTGCTCAATGATATTGATTGTTTTCAAGTCATTTGCCTAAAAGGGTCTTTGCAATAAGCCTCACCAAATTCAGGTTTTTGAGTAATTTTCGTGTATTTTTTGTTAGATTTATTGCGTATGAGTAAAGTGTAACAAGTTTAAAAATGCCAGCTTGAATGTGAAAGATTGGAGACTTTTCTAATCAGCCTAGCGTTTTGCATATTTTCACATTTTTCAAATGAAATATTAATATAAAATAATGAGAGTGTCTGAAATATCATTGATTAATTTAAAAAAATGCGAATGTATTTAATGTAATTAGCTAATTAATGAAATCTAATTGCATTTTTAACATGAAAAGAAAGCATTGTTTGTAATATCTCTCAACAAAGCGTATTGTTTGTTTGAAGAAACAGCAAATAAACAATTGGGAAATGGAATTTTAACACTTTTAATGGAATCTCCTTGAAATACTGTGGACATTATCACTTTGAAGTGTTTGTCTTCAAAGTTAATTAATTTTGAAGTCAAATTACGGACATACTTTGGCATTATTCTTTCTGTTAAGGAATGCCTTCTTTTTTAGCTCTTTTGTATTCATGTTGTTTACTTCAGAGGTGATAATCATAATTTGTTTCGTAAATTTAAGCAGATGTCTGAACTGCTGAAAATGTATTTAAAAATGTTTCATCGCAAATAAACTTTTGAGATGTAAACAAGTTAAATATGATGTTTGTAGTTTGATTATTCCTCTTCTGAGATATTATGCTTTGTTTATTTTAAGTTAATAATTTTAAAAACATTAGTTTATTGCTGTTCAAACATTCCTCATAATCTGAAAGTATATAAAAAATGGGGACGTCTCTAGCTTATTTCAACGCAACAGAGAAAGAAACTAATAATTATAATAAATTTAGGAAGCAGATTCTTCAATTAGGAAGGTGCATCTAATTTTCTCATAAAAGCAGTAGAAATCAACAAATTGAGTGTTCCAAAAGGTTCGAAAATTTGAATAATTAATTATAGAATTGAAGAATACGATAAAACTTTACGGTTTTCTGCCATCAGCTTAGGAAGCAAGTTATTTATTTCCAGCAAATTTCATAAATGGTTATCAAGTTCACTAGTAGATGGTGCTTTCGACTGGAAAAAAATAAAACGTTTAAATATAACTACTATTTGAAGCAACATCGTAGTGACGTCTTAGGACAAGATTGCCTATTAAAACATCGGGGAACATATTTCAGTTAAAATAGTTTTTCCCGTACTCATTTTATAAATGTTGCAGTAAGAGCCATGATGGTTCAGGGGATGTAGCGCTCGCCTCCCAATTAGAAGATCCGGGTTCTAATCCCAGTCGACGTTGATTTCGCACCTGGCTCTCACCGACCAGAATGCTGACGTAAAATACCCTCATGCCCCAGACGGATAATGGGTGAAAGTTTTCTTGCCATCAGGCTAACCGTGGGAGTTTTTAATGACTGTCCTCACCATGCAAAGCAACTGTAAGTTAGCTCCATCTAAAAGTCTTCCGCGAAAGCAAATTTTCCCAAACACTTGATACAGGAGTTCCCTTGTCTTTTGTAGAAGTTTGAAATATTAAGGCTACGGAATCGAAAATTGGTAGTCGTTTGATCATAATTGAATCGGCTTTTTAACGATTGTTATAAAATATAAAATCTTGCAGTTAGTTACGTCGCGGTAGCACAAGTGATTGACCGTTCAACTCCCCATGAGATGACCAAGGTTCAAATTTTAGAGATGGCTGGTTGATATAAATTCAGCATCTTGCTCGCACCGCACTCTGTGCTGACGTAAAACATCCTCTGTGTTAGACGGATCATAGGTTAGAATCCCCTCGCTGTGCGACTAACCATAGGGGTTCCCATGGATTTTAACCCAATATAACGCAAATGAGGGTCAATTCCATCAAAAAGTCCTCAGAGAATACTTGTTTCTCCCAATGTTTGATCTAAGAGTTCCCTTATCTTCAGGAATGTGTTCAAAATCACAAGGCTATGAAGTTGAACTATGATGGTCGTTAACTCAGAATTGGGTTGGCTGTTCAAGGCCGGTTATAATATAAAATAAAATGTTGCTGATAGCAGTTTTTCATATGTTCATGAAATTCGCAACTGATTATTAAATTTTAAAGACAGAAAAATCATGTTTTTTTTCTCCTTTAGTCTAGTCTTTTTTTTTCTCTTCTCAAATTGTCAGTCATTTTTGAGACTGCTAGAATTAATAAATTAAACCAAAAATTTCAACTTCCAAGTAATGAAAAAAAAATTCTTTTTTGAGTTTTTGAAAATGTAAACTTACATGTATTCGTCGTCACTTTGAGTGGAAGGTCCATCTGGCCATTCCATGTAGCATATCACTCGATGGTCTCCATTTACGAAAGTCTCGATTCGAGTGACGGAGTAGAGGAGATTCGGAAAGGAGAGAATCACACTCAAAATCCATATCCAGACAGTGATGTTTAGGGTTGTTGCTCTTGACATCCTTGGCTTCAGAGGATGCATAATTGCCATGTATCTGAGAAGAGAGAAACAGTTTTTCAATATTTGAAAAAAGGGTGCTCGGGATACACAGTATTACAAAACTTTTACCGGAAGTCTTTAAAAACCATTGAAATGAAAATGGAAGGAATGAAAATTACATTTTGCTTAAGTACTCAAAAAATTTATTCCTACTAAGTTAAAAAATTAACTAAAGGGCTAATCAACAGATGGTGCTGCCAGCTGAAAACAGCCATTTTCAACAAAAACGCAGCGTAGGCAGAAAACAGAGTTAACAAATGCCCCAGCACATATTTCAGTTAAAATTGCTTTTTTTTTTCTTAAATTTTATAGCAATAAGCATTTTTTTCAACTTCCGTTAACTAGCGACGGTATTAAAGACTGATTTCGAAACTTAGGGGAAATAAATTTCTTATTCCCTATGTTGAATTCCATGCAAATAGTAATTAAGGTTTAAAAAATTGTACTATTTACTTCTGTTTTTCTGCCATTTTACATTCAAAGCATCAACATTTTTAATGATAACCAGTATGAGTTCAGCCTTTTTTACTTGATTCAAAATATTAAAAGGAAAATTATATTTCAGCATTAGTGTATTTTTAAATACGTAGGTAACTTAAAAGGTAACTGAATTTGCCCAAGTCATTTAAATCCAAAAAGTATTCTGGTATTGATTTCCGAAAACTGTTCGTTTGGTTCTTTTACGAATAACATTGAGTTAAAAAATTGCCGTTTTTGTCGCATAATAAACATTTCGGCAAACTAGTAAGAATAGTTTTCATGCAATATGGAATTCGCTTTGTGCTTTGTATAGAAGGATTATATTTAAATCATTTGCTTTTATTAAAATGTATCTTTTTAAAATTGATTCGCTATTTAAAAAAAGACACAAATCTGAATCAGTTTCCGAAGTTATTGTTTCCACCAAGTGTGACAGGAATCTAATTTCTAAGAGATTTCAACGTGGATTTCCAAAGTATTTCAGCATTTTAAATTGCATACGTGCAAATAATTGCATAATCTTAATAATCAACTCATAAAAGTAAAGATAGCACTAACGTGTCTTGGAAGAGTCAGCGCAACAGGCTGAAAATAAAATATTTCTTGTCCAACTAGCTATATATAACTATTTTGTATCTAAATCCATTTGAACTTTGCACGTTTATCGACACCTTTTTCTGCAATACCATTTATCAAAAACAAAAACTTATTTTTCACAATCCTCCCATGTAAAGAAATGCTTTCAAATGTTTGAATTTAGTGTCTTTCAATTTTATTTTTTACTCTGAAATATTATTAAGTCTTCAGCAATATCCAATAACCAATCTATTGTGAATACAAAAAAGACAATAACATTCAATATTTTCTGTATCATTTCTTGGAGTTGTTTGAAAAAATTTATTGCAACATAAAACATATGCGTTCTGTATTTATTTTGTTGTAAATAAACTTTAGTCATTTTAGATACAGTTAAAGCTTCCGGTGTTTTAAATGTTTATGCGTTCTTTCTTAAGAACATATAAAACATTTCTGTGACATGATTTATGTTAGACATCGACAAATAAAATGGAATCAACCGTCATTAAACAGATGAAACTTTATTTTTATGCTTTAAGAGTTGAAAAAAAAATACAATCTACATTGTAAAAATTTCCAAATCAAATTCTGATAAAAAAGTTACTCAACGTGCCGATACTTTTCACTGTAAAACCACTGTTTTTATAGTAATTTTACAGTTATCGTAATTTTACAGTTAACGTAATTTTACAGTTAACGTCATTTTACAGTTACCTTAATTTTACATTTACGTAATTTTGACAGTATTAACTACCGTAAAATCGCTGAATCCTTCTGAATAAATGAATAATACTGTAATGATGTATGCTCACAAAGTGCAATCTGGATTTTTTTTTATACAGTGCATGATGCTAACTTTTAACTCATTCCATTGTAATTGTTTATGAAAATAATATTCTTACATAAATTTCAATAAGATGTTTATCATAATCGAGGGATAAAAATATTTCCTATGGTTTCAAATACTCAATCATGGAGGAAGAATGAAACGCATAAATAGCCATTTGAATAAAACAATTCCACAAAAGCTTCTAATATGAATATGTTTTTGTCATAGAAAGTGAAACATTTTAGTTATGAACTCAACAAACGATGAATTGTTTATTCAAATTCACTCGGCAAACAGGACTTTCTTATGCAAATGAGAATCATACTAATGGATGTCGGTATATAATTTTGACGAGACCCTGCTTTATTGATAAACTTAGATATTAACGGTTTCATTAAACTACTGAAATGAATTTTATATCCACTCATTTCTTTAGAAAAATGAAATTCTTATTTTTGAGGTTTATAACTAAACATTTGTGGCTTTTATGTAAATGCATCATCAATCAAAGGGAATGATGTTTTCGCGTGTGTTTAGCATTTTATTTGTTTCGTGATGCTATAATTAATGGAACTATGATTTTTGCGCAGAGGGCGTAGTCCGACATGGAGTTTAATTGCAATATTATAATGAGCTGTTTTAACATCGATAGACGGAATGCTAATACAAATGACTGCAAATAGTGATTTCAAATCATAAATCCGAGTTTCAATAAATATAAATACATTCGTTTCAGAAAAAGAGGCAAAATGAAATAACATTTTTTAAAACTACGTTCAGTAGACTAAACAAGGGGGAAGATTTATATTTTTAAAAGACGACCAACAACGATTTTTTAATGGTTATAGAGTTTAATTACTGTATTATATCGAACTAATTTAACATCCATGTTTAGAATGTTAAATTCCAGTGATTTCAAATTATACATTCGAGTTTCAATTAATACATTCCATGTTCAGAATGCTAAATTCCAGTGATTTCAAATTATACATTCTAGTTTCAATTAATACATTCCATGTTTAGAATGCTAAATTTCAGTGATTTCAAATCATACATTCGAGTCTCAATTAATACATTCCATGTTTAGAATGCTAAATTTCAGTGATTTCAATTCATACATTCGAGTTTCAATTAATACATTCCATGTTTAGAATGCTAAATTTCAGTGATTTCAAATTATACATTCGAGCTTCAATTAATACATTCCATATTTAGAATGCTAAATTCCAATGATTTCAAATTATTCATTCAAGTTTCAATTAATATATTCCATGTTTAGAATGCTAAATTCCAATGATTTCAAATTATACATTCGAGTTTCAATTAACACATTCCATGTTTAGAATGCTAACCCTTAGGAAAATTTGCCATAGAGAAGCCTATGGTAATCTATGGCAACCTATGGCTACCATAGANAAACCCCATAGGAATATCCTATGGCATTTTTTTATGGCAAACCTATGGCAAATTTTCCTAAGGGAAATTCCAATGATTTCAAATTATACATTCGAGTTTCAATTAATACATTCCATGTTTAGAATGCTAAATTCCAATGATATCAAATTATACATTCAAGTTTCAATTAATACATTCCATGTTTAGAATGCTAAATTTCAGTGAATTCAAATCATGCATTCGAGTTTCAATTAATAGATTCAAATAAAATGTATAATGAGAAAATGATTTCATGACTACGTTAAGTAAACTAATAAGGAGAAAATACTTCTATTTTTATTAGACCGACAACGATTGCTTGATGGTTTTAGAATTTATTTACTGTATCGCAATGAACTTACTTAAAGTCGGTTTTAAGAATGCGAAATTACAGGACTGTAAAAAGAGATTTTAAATCCTACATTCGAGTTTCAAATCGTACATTCGTGTGATAAAAAGATGCAAAATAGAGCAAAAATTTCAGAAATTACGTTAAAAACACTAATAGAGAGTTAATATTTTTTTGCAGACTAACAACGATTGCTTAACGATTATAGAGTTTAATTACTGCATTATGATGAGTTTATTTGACAACGATATTTAGAATGATAAATTCCAGGACTGTACATAGTGATTTCAAATCATTCATTCAAGGTTCAATTATTACATTCACGTAAGATGTAAAAAGAAAAAAAATTAAAGCTGCAATAACTAGACTAATAAAAGAGAAAATATTTTTATTCTTATCAAACCTACAACGATTGATTGACGGTTGTATAACTTTTGTATTATAATGAACTAACATAACGTCGATATTTAGAATGCTAAATTCCTGGATTGTAAATAAAGATTTCAAATCATACATTCGAGTTTCAATTAATACATTTATGGGATAAAAAGATCGATAATAAAACAAAAATTTAAAAAAATTAGGAAGACTTAAAGAGAGTAAATTTTTTTTATCAGACCAGCAATGACTGAATAATGGTTATAGTATTAAATTACTGCATTGTAATGAACCAAATTATCATGGGTATTTAGAATGGTAAATTCCAGGACGATAAATAGTGGTTTCAAATCATATATTCGAATTTCAACTATTACACCAAGTTAGATATATAATGAAAACAATAATTATTTCAAAACTACGTCAATCATAGACTTATAAAAAATAAAATAATTTCATTTTTGTCTGACCTAAAAGATCATCTTACGAAAATAAAGTTTAACTATGGTATTATAGTGAGCTAATTTAGCATGCATAATTATAATGTCATTAAATGTCATTAATTAAATGTCATTAATAATGTAATTATAATGTCATTAAAGACAGATTATTTCATTAAAAATAGATCCGAAAATGATACTTTAATAGTGATTGGAGCTTATGAAAACTTATAGTAGTTTGATCTATGGTATCAGAAATCGACATTGATGTTTCTAATCCGTGATGATCTTACATGTCTGAGAAGCGAAAAATCCTACATTGCATAAAATAAATGTTTTATGGTTTGAAGAAACATTTAAGATCATAACAGATTGGTAGAAAAACAATGTAAATGATTTATAAGTGCTTAACTCTGAAAGATTACAGAATCAGAAAGATTACGCCATTTTGGAAAGAAAAATACTTCTAGGTATTCTAAAAGGAATACAAAAGGATGATATTTGGCATT